CCAACCCGCAAAAGTTTGGTGTTTTCTCGGTGCGCAAAAAAAAAAAAAAAAAAAAAAGGCAAACAGCTAAATTACTGTTATCTCTGCCTCAGCCTCCAACCTCAGTAGTTGCTCATGACCACAGGAAACTGCCCTTGCTCCTGTAACTGAGAGGGCAAACACTGGCTGGACCACATTAATTTCTCTAGTGACGTTGCTCATGGGTCAGCTGGAGATTGTCTCACCGAAAAACCTCTTCCAGCAGAGTTCTCTGATGTGCTATAGACCTGCTCTCCAAAGCTCAAATGAAGGCTGCTAAGCGTGGCAGAAGGATGAAGTAGTGACGCAGCTTTCTAGGAGAAGCTGCACACTGGACACAGCATCTTCAGCATCAATGATCAGCTGGGAAACAGCAGGTATCAGGTAAATGGGTACCTGGTAGCCTTTTCCCTCCCACAGGCAGACACCACTACCAGTCCAAATTCTGACATAGAATTTCTTATGTAAAGTTACATTTTTCTGAACTCCTTCTGTATTATTGCCTTATTTTGAGCTTTTTTTTTTTTTAATGTGTAGCTTAAAAAAAAAAACAACCAGCTGTTGCCTTTTCATTTGTTTAGGAAACAAGGATACTGATTTTGTATTAAATTAATTTTATATCAAATTCATTTCTTTTGAAGGATCCTGTTTCAAGTTCTTCAAAATCATTTCTGCTTGTTTCTGTCTCTTGATATGATCACAGTACATTACAACTAACATTGTCCAATGACACTTTTTGTAACTTCGGCTTATGCCTGTCTCAAGAAGCAGCAGATTGATGGCTCATTACCTTTTATTCTGTGTTCCATTTCAGTGGCTTTGTCAGAAGGTGGCAACGACTGAAAATAAATCTTTAATTCAATGATGTATGCTGCATGCTCAAATACCTGACTTTGTAGCAGATAACTGAAATGATCACAAGGTCAGGCCAACATACTTTCAGCAATCTTTGGTCCTTCATATACAACTCAAACACAGGAAACACAAGGCTGTCTTCAGAAATTAGGATTCAGGAGGATGGGAGGGTTCTAAACTGGATTTGTTAGAAAATGGGGCACTGAGTTTAAATATTTAATGTGACCTTAACTGTTTTAAGCAAATTACATCTCAGGTGACGGGACATGTAAGACCTGCATTCAGGTACAGTGGGTTTTGTCTTAGCAGTGTAATAACTTGAAGATTATCCACATGGAGTAAGAACTATACTAAAGACAGTTCAAAAATATCCCATTTTATTTTCTGGAAAACAGGGATTAAGCCTTTGATTTTTGATGAAGCAGACAAAAAAATGTACTGGTTTAGTCTGAAAAAGCCTCAAATAAATCAGAACAATTTATATCCTCTAACAGCACAGCCCTTCTAACTGGAACACAGCTGATTTGCAATGGAAAGGCACACAAGTAACTCAACCAGAAGCACACAAGACAGAGTATCCTTCAGTGTGCAGCTAGGAGACACCATGAGCTTGCTAACTTTCATTTTGCTGGTCTTCTTAAAAAACTACTTGTTGTTACAAACCTGAATGCATCTGTCCTCGGAAAGCGTCTTAAATTTACGGAAGAGCCTGTAGTGACACAGGCTTTGGAGAAAAGCAAGGGGAATAACTAGGTTTGCACAACTAGTAACATATTGTACCATCTTACTCCAGCTGTAATTCCTTGAAGCTACAAGACTTTTGATTTTTTTTTTTTTAATCAAAACTTAACTGCTAGAGTTAGGCAAAAAGTAATTTATTGCCTGAAAGTTTTCACGGTGATTTGTATTTCACAAGATAAGTAGACAGTTGCATGAAGAAAAACAAAGCTGTGAAAAAAAACCAAAATCCAGTCATTTTGGTCCTATAAAAATAGTACAGCACTAGCCAGATGCCTTGCAACGTCGATGTGCCTCCTCAGGACACGCCAGTAAGCACTTCCCTGGAAATGTTTGGGCCCATCTTGTTCTTCTCTCACCATTCTTTCCTTGCAGCACCTAGATCTGTCTGCAGAAGAACACAGGGTCTTCCAGCAGCAGATAATTCCACAGATGTTAGTGTAACATTAAATTTTAAAATCAAAATGCTGCAAGTAACCTGTAGGATGTTGAACCCATGGCAAGAGAAGACACCACATTAAGAGTTATTTACGAACACAAACTCTGCCTCCAAAGACAGAGAGAACAGTGACTTGGGAAGAGCCATTCTCTCCACATCCTGCGACACTGAAGAGTCTTAACCTTGTGAGCTTTATTTATGCAGGAAAAATACTCATGTAACAGATATGTGAACCTTCTTGCTTCTCTAGTCTCTTATTGCAGGTCCTTTTCAGCCTGCACTGTGAATTGCATCATGTTAATTGACAGCATACAGCATAATATGTGGCTTGACTGTGGTAAAAGTCTGAGCTAGTAAAAATAGCTGGCTAATAAAACGTGAAGCAGGACAGTGTCTTTCTATTTTGAGACATGTTCAACAATTGTTCTAATAAAAGCTAGACAGAAAAACTTGGTGGCTTTGGTTTTTATTTCTTTCCCTCTAGGATCTTCAAGTTCACACAAAATAAAACATCACTGTTCAGCTGACCACAGTATTTCATAGGGCTAAAACATTTGTTCTATGTTTTTAACACTTGAACAGTTTAGAATTATATCCATAGAAGACTATTTGTGCAACACCTCCATCTTACACAGTTCTGGTCATTCAAACACTGCCTTCTTTGGTAAGTGCTCATTTAGCAAGTTTTACCTGTATTTAGTTCTTTCCAGGATAATAAAAATACAAAAATCTGGTTCAATATATTTTTAAAAGTGGGACGCAAGAGTGCTCTAGACTTCTTTTAATCTCTAAAATACTTAGTGCGATTTTCATTTATCCCCAATCTTTTGCAAGAGCTTTTAAATTATCCCCAGTCTTTCACAAGAGCATTTTTTTTGCCTTTTTTCTTTTGCTTTTTTTATGGCTTTTTTTTTTTTTTTGAAGTATCACAGATTGCTGTGTTGGATTAAATTTGTCAAAGTCACTAATACGGAAGTTAGCAACAAAAATTGAAAATGAGATTGCATCTCAAATACTTGTAACATTTTCTTGCCATCACAGTAAGTATCCCTCACTACAGTACAATTTGTCTGCAGCTACTTGAACAATCTGAAGGAAGTACTTATTTTTTAACTCTGCAGGGAAGTAGCTCAATTTATTTTTTAGTTCGCTTTAATTCGCAGGAAGAAACAATACATTTTTTAAATGTTTATTCAGCTGCAGACATCTCTTCTAAAGATACCTGTGGTATAGTCAATATACATCTTCCCTCATTCCTTCAAACACACTTAAGCTTTGAGGTAATTTAGGACAAAATATAAGAACACTTAAAAAAATAAGAGATTGGTAAAAAAAAAAATCAGGCAGGATAAATAGAAAAATATTCTGTCTTCCTTTCACTACGAACAGTTTCAGCATAATGCACTTCAAAAAGCAAAATAAAGCAAAATAATCAAGTTGCTAAGTCCAAAATTAAGCGTATTTCTCAAGCAGAACTGACTTACGCAAGCATTTCACCTGAGTTTACATTTCAGGGATTGGGCCCATAGCAATCAAGAAAACAAAGCATCCAGGGGCAGATCATCCCACATCATTCTACCCCTTACTTAGAGGGGTACAGGAAGGAATATAGGGAAAAAATATTTTAAAAAAAAAAAAGAAACAAATCAAACCTTGTCTTGCTGGCTCCATTTGGGGAAAAGATGGTCACTCTCTATAGCAGCATCTCCATTCATGCCTGTTAGCCAGTACTGACTCTATCAGTATTATCTTATCTGCACAAAGGAACCTATATTCATGGAGATTTTGGGAAATACTAGCAATGGTGTCTTGCTGTCCTACGGGGACATTTCTGTTAATTCTGTCTCAGCTGAAACCAGGACAGGAGTGTATTCCAGAGACGCAAGGCACTTGCTGGGAAAACCTGAGATGAAACCTGTAAGTTTAGAAGATGGTCCTCTGCCCATTGACCTATAAGGGTATACCACACTTCCTTTGTGAGATAATGTCAAAGGAAATCTGATTTAAAATGTGGTATCTTCTGGCACACATGAAGATCATTCCTTTGGAAAGTATGATTTCACTCTCTCATTTATATGCTATATAGGAAGGCTGCAATACTTTAAGTAAGATATTTTTACAGTTGTAAAGATATTTTTTGGGAATGACATAGGTAACACAAGTTATAGTTCTTTAGGCTGAATGAAAAAAGCTAATCGGAGTCTTCATCGTCAAGGTATTCCTCTGCATTACTTAATGTTCGGACTGTACCTGGAAAGAAACAAAGCCCTCTCTTAATGCAGGATAAAATAAGAAAAAGCCTCACATTTGCAATGCTTTCAAACCAGCATCTGAGAAACTCAATTCCTTTATCATTTAGAGATTTTAAGGCTACACAGTTGGGGCTGTAGGTCTGATCTCAAAGGTAGGGCTAAGCCCATCTCCTACATACCGGATTTAGTCTGTCTGTGACCTTCAGGAGCCATCTTGTGGCTCCTTGGAACCTGTACAGCAGAGCCGGACTCTTTAATTCTACTTTTTGTACATATTACCTTTAAACAGCAAAGGAAAGGATGGGAGAGTTTGTGGAAGAGCTCCTATGTTTTATTCTGAGTGCTGCCATTCTCTGCTTAAAATCAAACACATTGCATCTATTCTCTCCCCTCACTCTCTTCTTACCTTGGTTTTATCCTGAATATTTCTTACACATACTTACGAGCTTTTGCTTTTGAAGGATAGTAAGCAGAAAACAGGAGTATTAAAGTATATTCAACAGATGTGCAGCAGTGCCTGGAGAACTCCATCTACCTCTGGGACTGTACAAAGCTAAACAGCATGGGCTCTTTGTAGACAGATTATTTGTCTACAGCTTTTCAAATATATGGGAACAGGAATACGGACGATATACAACATACATTATATTGTTCTACTGAGTAGAAGAAGCAGCAAAGGAGGAAACAAAAGAAAAGAAAGAAATTGCAGAACCCTGGGCTCAAGGGGCCATTACTTCAAGAAGGGACAAATCCCATTTCTTCTGTGTTACAGCTGTTCCTTTGTTCAGGACCACAAGTAATACTATCCTTTTGCACTTCTGCTACAGGATTTTAATAACTTTAATTTCTTAGAATACACTGCAGCAATCATGACATTTGAATGTGTGTGTACACATATAAACACAGATCTGAACACTTAAGTGGAGGCAAAGTAAGCTTCCTTGGACAAAGCAAGATGTTTTCTAGATGGACTATGACAGAAGTCATATCTAAATAGGAACAGGTTTGAAAGTGGGGACAGAAAGACTACCAATATAGGTCTGAGTCTCTGAAAAATGTTTGAACAATCATCTCACTCACAGACACTGGAAATACTGAAATTAGAATCAGTAGACACAAAAGAATGAAATAAATAAAAATAAGCAAGAAAATACAAAATACAAGAAAAGTATACAGATCAGTGGTGTCACAGAGATTATAAAAGGCCAAATTAAGACAGAAAAACAGACAATGAAGCTAACATTGAAACTGTAGTTATGCTGAGGACATCTGTTCTTATATTAAGGCAAACAAGAAATGATAGTGTGTGCGAGTCCCAGAGATTGGTGATAGTGATTAAGGATGAAAAAATCACTCAGCCATGAAATAATATTTAGAGGAAGTAAAGTAAATGCACCAGAAGTTACCTACTAGCAGAAAATGAAACATTAATACAATTATTAGGGACATTAGAACAGAGATTATTCCCATACCACGTGCCTACAATTGACAGGCAAAGACAAAACAAGCACTCCTAACAGGGATTAATTTACAACAGAAAAAAACATAGAAAGGGTAGAAAATCTGCACTTTGTTACAACTGCTTTCTTCACCGTCAAAATTGATGGAAATAAATTTGTCAAGGCTTTCTGGGAAATCCTCGTATTACTTCTATCAAAATGCTGGACAGTATTTTTGCTGCAGCTGCTCTTCTTGGCCTTCTAAAGCTGCAGCAGCTATTCCACCATTTAATTCCCATAACTGCTAACCACCCACAGGTGAGCATTCCCTCTGTTCTTGCTAGCCCTGTGACAACAGTTGCTAGACTGCATATACCACTGATGCAAGCTGTAACTCTGCCCGTGTTTTAAAGTAATTTCTCATTTCTTGTGTCATTCACCTAGGGTTTTGACCCTACTTCAGCCTCCTGAGAGCTACAGGTAACATTAATTATGCAATATTGAACAATTCAGTCTTTCTTCAGCTTTTTAAAATACCCTTGTATTACCCTTCAACTCTTTTGTACATGGACACTGCGCTATTATGAGAGTTGAATGCAAGTGCAAGGCAGTGAGGCTATTTTGATAAATACCTGAAAGCATTCTTTCTTTATTTTTCTATTAGAGAGACACAGGAATAAGAAATTTAAAAATGAGCAATAGGAAAATAAAACAGGAACATCTGATGTTTGTTTGGCTTAGTTTGGAGGAACAGACAGGCAAAGGGGGAACATACCACATGGTTTTACTTTCAGACCCTGTTCCTTGTGGTATAATGCTTTAAAAGTAGTTTCCATCCTTGCTTTCTTTCTGTCTCTCCACTCTGAAGGGCTTGTCTTCCATTTCCTTCCCTACCCTTACTATTTCCACGTTTTCTGAACTCTTTTGCGTCTTGGTGACACAAGATGGCACTTTGTGTGAAGTCAGCAACACTGACTGTGATAAATCACAGGCCCCGCTGAACTAACTCTCTCAGGTGAACCATCCCAAACACAACTCTTAGCTCATGCAGCTCCCAACTGGTTTTTATGGCTATTAACATATTGATACTCGGTTGAAATATTAAGTATCCTCTAAGAAGGAAAAAGGTGTCAGAATAACAAAATCAGAAATACCTGCATTCTGTTTCTTCTTAAGCAGGGAAGCACAAGCTGCATTGGTTGCCATGTCTAAAGCCAGTTTCTTCTCATTGTTCTTCAAATCTGTTCTTGCCCCTTTATAATACAAAATTTTCATCATAAATCACTCTCACAGCTATTTCTTGAGCAATGGTGTTAGAATACAAGTTTCAGTAGCTGGGTAGAACAGTAATGGACAAAGGAATCTCATCTGTGGACTGCTCTAGAACAGACTAAAAGCTATGGATGCTCTTCCATAAGCTACAATTGGCTAGGGAACTCGCTGGCTGCACTCCCTTTCCAGGAAGCAGATGTCATTGTTGTTCTGGGGTTAAGTGCTTAATTTTGTCTGCAAAGCAGGATGAAATTTATCTTGAGCATGTGAGATGTCTACTTTCCAAACAGCTGCCAGAATTTTTTGCAAGGCTTATAAAGTCAGGCAGGTAAGCTGGCTAAGGACTGTACCTGGGTTATAGGAAAACAGTTTAAAAAATACAGATTAATAAACACTCAGGAATCTAGTCTGCCACACAGATTGTTGAAACCTTGGTGAAGATCTTTACCCTTTGCCAGCAGCATCTCTACAATATCTGCATAACCTTTCCATGCAGCAGCATGCAAAGCTGTGTCTCCCAATTTGTTCTGTGGAGTTAGAGGGAAAAGCAACAGGATTAAAACACAGCAAAAAACCTTTCAGCTTGTACCAAGGATTAATAACATCACACCTCTACTGTAAGGTTCTTCTGGTTTAACTTACCTGTTGGTTTAGCTCTAGGTTTGCTTGCGTAAACAGAACATCCACTATATCTGCAGAAAACAGGGCGGTGTGGGAGTGAGGAATAAAGAGAAACAAAATCAGTGGAAACAAAATGAGCCTTTTTGCATTCATAGTATAAATGTTACTTAAGATTCAATGAAAGAGTGACCCAATCAGCTAATGAAAATCAGTTAACAGTCAGACTGCATTGAGCAAACAACCACTAGTCACAACAAAATGCTACTGAATAAAATATCCAAAACAATACATTTCTTTTTGGTCTGTCCTTCTTCCCACGCTGCTTCCAACAGTTATGTTAATTAGAATGCCTGCTTCAACAGCAACAACAAAACACACAGCATTTGATGGAGCTGAACCTCCCTTCTAGCTTTAACTTTTCTTTTGAAAAAGCTAGAATGACATTAAAAAAATCCTGGCTTTATTCTTGTTGCAGTTTTACAGAGTAACTGCCATTTTAGTACTGCAATTTTAGCAATCAGTGTAATAAGCAAATCAAGAAAACCAGAGAACGGTCATTTCAAATTAATTCTCTGATACCTTTGTGGCCTCCATGGCATGCCCAGTACAGAGCTGTGTTTCCAGCTTTGTCTAAACCATTGACCCCAACTCGATTATCCAAACACTCTCTCAACCAGCTTAGGTTGCCTGAAAGACAAATTCAGTTTTCATTACTTCTCTTTGAAAAGTTAACAGAACCATTGAAGGCACTTAGTTCTTCCAGAAGGGTCAGCCCGCCTATGAACTTAGCAGAAGAAAAAGTCACTAGTAGCAACACATATAATTCATAAAACAACCAGTCCAAGCCATACCAAAGACCTTTTCTTCCACTCCCAGAAGACCTTTAGATCCCTGTGTAGTTAAATGGATGGTACCAAACTCTTTTTCTGTGTATACAATCACAGAGTGGCAGTTCTACCAGACTGCAAACCAGGTCAGTTTCTGAAAGTTGTGAAACTTACCAGATAACTGGTACAAGATAGCAGACAACCCAAACAGACAGGGTATCTTGATTCTAAATATAATTTTGGCAGAAAACAAACAAACCATACTTTAGCATTACACAACCAAAACCCAAATCACACTTACCACGTTTTGCAGCTTCATGCAGTGGGTTATCAATAGACTCAGCTTGCTCTGCCACTGAAATGAAACAGAGAATAAATTCTAACTACTTCTGAAACTGAAGAAGTATCTGACACCTGTGTGGAAATAAAACTTTTATTCCAGAAGAACCAGTAACATATATTTGAATCAAACATGAAAGAGGATTTGTAAGTGATTGATGCACTCCAACTTCCTGTGAATGGGAAAGCAATTCAGAGAAGAGCTTCAGGATTCTGGCAATATTCCCACTCAGTTGTTACTTCCCTTTCTACACTTGTAAGATGTTTTTGAGCAGTTGCATGTGGCTAGGCTTTCAACCTACAGCTTGCCATCCGTAGTTATGACTGAATTATTTCCACGAGGGCTGTGAAGGGCAACTAAAAAAAATCTGCTGTCAACAGGCTTCCTGTTTGTTTTATGGAGATTTGCCATTTTCCCTGGAAAACTCACAAGAGGTCTGCAAATCAAAACTGCTTAATCAGGCAATGTAGTGATGGGCAGACTGAAGTTCAGGCTTCTGTAGACCTTTTCTGCATCTCACAAGCTTTAGGTTTTACTAGAGATGAGCAGCAATCAGCTCCTGGTCACTGTGCTGCTGCAACAGCAAAAAAGAAACTGAACAGCACTGTGTAACAATTGGAAGTGAACCATGATCTGGAAACTCTTTTTAAAAAACTTCTATTTTAAGTGGAAAGCTCTCAGGGTACAAGCACGTAGGACCTTGTACAATCTGAGATGAGTAGGCTTTCTAAGCCCTCGCACTACGGCTTCTTACAGGAGGCAGGGAGAATGTGTGAAAGGGTGTTCCTCAGATTGAATAGTTACTGCAATCAGATGCAATGCAGGCAAATACAATGTATGTCAGTTACTAGAAATAAAAGTTTCAAGACTGTTGTGGCCTATCCAGATCTTTTCTTACTTTGCCATGTATTCCTCCCATAATACTTGTAATGGCAAGATTTCACATGTTTACCTCTCTAGCTGTGAGTAAAATAAAACACAAATACTTGATTCTGATATTTCAGTTAAAAAAAAATAATTGTGTAGTGAACAGAATCCTAAAGCGGAGTGGAAGAAGCCAGTCCCAGAGCAGACAGCCATTACACAAAGCAGAACACGCTAGTCATACTGAGCAGTGCTTGTTGTGCACAGCAGAAAGCATTAACACTAACAACACTGTTTCAAAAGCCTAAAAATAATTTTGTCTTTAGAAAATTCTCATCAGAAGTTCAGTAATAAGTATTTTAATGCAGATAACACTGTTTCTGTCTTCATCAGCTTTTCCATTTACTGTCTTCACAAAGGTATTCCTTCAAGTCCAGCAGATGGAGCACAAGTCCCCACTAGAGACTCATTAGTTTCAGATCTGTCTCCACCTTTTGCAAAAAGGTTGTAGAAGAGCACAGGAGATCACAGTGTTTCAACGCTCAAGACTGAACCTAGGCAGCCCTAACGGTGGCAACCAGCAGAAGCAGGCCTTTGGGGATTTTGTACAGTTTGTCTAAATCAGAAGACATGTTTCTGATACTCTTCGTTCTTAGGGTCTGCAGAGGCTTCTGTTCTGCTTAGACATTAATTTTTTGCAAACATGCAGATAGAGACACCACCAGCCCACACTCCCCCTGCCCAGCCTGGAATGGAAGTTAATCTGCTGCTCAGGTAAGTTTTCAGTAAAGCACTCTGGAAGCAACTTTTCTAAATGATCTCAGAGGGAACACAAACTGGAGTAGTAAGTTGTTGGTTTTATTTTAAATATAACACACTTCAATGTTCAGAAGAAATTTGAGTGCAGATAAGCATGTGCAAACTATTCTTCTTGTATATAACAGTAACCACCTCTGGCAGATGGAAAGAGTATAATCAGTCTGGAAGTCATAAACTAAATTGAAATCTGATGGCATGGTCTCAATAACTGCAACATAGGCTCCTAGTCATGTATTTCTACTAACTACAAGTCAGGGAAGGGAATCGTAACATTGCTACCATAATGTCTCCTAGTGAAGAAGGGAGAACACGAAGCAACCACAGTTACTAACACATTAGCAGTTTGACACAATCTGTCATATGACATAGCTGCACTGCCTACATTTCCTAGGATGATTTGGAAGAATTGTGCTGTCTGTATTCATGGCTTTTCAAAGTTATCGCAGTTGAACCTAAAAAAGCAATTTATTTTCAGTACAAACAGGTATAGAACATTTAATTTGGTGCGATCCCAAAGAAATCAATGTTTTATTTGTCTTAAATATATATTCATTAAAAATCAACAATGGCAAACAAAGCAGCCCTATGTCTTAAGGAGGGGGGAACAAAGATGGTCTACAGAATTGGTCACAATCTGTTTTAGCTTCCTATCCATATGCAGGTTTACTTATCAATTCCACTATTGACTATATGTCTCTGTAAGAAGCCACCTCATGCCATGTCACACTTCTTGATCTCAAAGCCATCTAAGCCTGCTGCTGTCCATCCTTAGGTCTACTTAAAAAAAAAAAGGCAATGTACAGACTGAAGGAATATAGCCAAGATACTGCTAATGAGAAGATCTTAAAAACTGCAATACGTTCATTGAGGCTACCTAGAACACAAGCCTATTGGTTTCATGTGCCATCTGTAAAACTATGCTTTATATCCAGGTGCTCTTCCCCTCAAAACTGAGAGCAGGTATTGCTGTTACCCCGCACAAGCAGAAACATGAACACTTGACAAACTCAAGATGTCTCTAGGTTATAAAAACGTAAGACAGACTATCCCACTGCTGATGGACAGTGGTGACTGATATTGCACAGGTATTCTGAAATACTCTGTTACAGGACTATTAAATGCCAATACTGTGATGAGTTTTTGAAAATAAGTTCATCAGTTATTTTTATTTAGTGATTTCCTTTGATTGTGAATGATCTTACCAAATGAAAATACTCTAGACATTACCATAGTTGCTTGGAATTAGTCCAGTTCTGCCTTTGCAAGTTCCTTTCCACCAATTTGTGTCACTCTGCAGAGAAAAGGGAAAATACTTTAGAAGGGATATGCTGCATCTCAGAAGTCTGTATGGGATATCTTAGACTCACCATGTCTGAGATGTAAATGATATCTCCTTCTTCAAAGTACAGTTCATCTGGCTTAAAAAAAAAATAAAAAAGAAGAGTGAAAAGTCTGAATGTCTGTACTTAGATGAAACAAATACCTGTATAAAGCAGAGTACATTAAGCTCTTCTTTCAGAAGAACAGTAACTCAAACTCTAGCAACTAGGTAACAGCTTGACTCGCCTACAGCTAACTTTTTGGATCTGTGACCTTCCTGATAACTAAAGAAAAAGACTGTGGCCTTTCCAGCAGAGCACTGTGCAACAGAAGTGGTGAAATATATCTTGTGTTTGTTAACTTCATCCCCTTTTTGGTTGGTCCCAGTTCATCAAATCTCTTAGTTCTCAATTATCTTTGTTGCCTTTGGAAGAAAAGAAAAAAAAAATCACTTAGATTGCTGATCTTAGATTGCAGGTAACTGATACCAGAGAAGAAAGCATGCTGCTTTTTAAAAGAGCTGGACCTAAAACAGAAGAGTGATGATTAATCAAGCAGTTTTAGTCAAATTAACAGGATTTTTCATTGAAAACATAGTACAATAAGTCTAGTAGGCCAACTCAGCAGAACTGAAGAAAAGTTATTATAGGTAACATTAAAATTAAGCTTCTCAAAACCCTAAAATCTAGATGTACTTACCGTTCTGGGCTCAAATGTATACAGGGCCCTGAACACTTTAACCTGCCCTGAAAAAAAGAAAAAATAAACAGTATCAGTATCACGCCTTCTAAACACAGCATACACATACAGCCCTCAAATCCAAATAAATTCCTTTCCTTAATCCTTAAAGCCACTTGCTGAACTTGTGCTATGACTCTGTCAATGAAAATAGTGATGAAAAGATTCAACTCAGCAGCATGGGTTCTGAAGGAAATGGGCCAACTGATCAGCTAAATGTAAGCTGCCTGTTGTGCACTTAACATGGTCTTCATAGCTGACCATGCAAGTCAGCTAAAGTGTTGCCATCGATTTCTGAGGCAAAGTGTATTTTCAGTCATATATATCCCCAGTCACTCACACATTAATTATTCTATTAATAATATCAGATTTGTCAAATGATACAGAATTAAGGACATAAAGAAACAAAACGATGACCAGCATCTGCAACATTTTCTCATACTTGCTTGTAGTTGTTATGAATTATGCAAAATAATGCAGTAGCACAGAAATCATTGCATTTAAGAAAAAATTACAAATGGTCACACAGTCCTATTTAAAGAATGTACAACTGACATGATGTTCCATTGAGATCCTTAAAATATGCTACATTGTTTATAATTCCACTATGTGGGCAATGTGTATTTTAACACAGCTGTTTTGAAGAGACTGTCAGCAGCACCCAAGCCCAGAAAAGATAACCTTAATGCAGAGAGTACAAATTTAATTGCATAAACTGCAAAAGAAGCATCTATCCCTATAAACATTTTCTAAAAAATTCAGTAAGGGTACATTTCAAGAGCACCAAGCAGAAAATATAAGATGACTACAGGAGAAGACAAATTTATCTTATGTAATTTTATTAGCTGAACTGCTAAAGAAGTCCTCTGAACTCAATGGAGAAATGTATTATTCAGACTGTTCTGCATTATTTATTTTTAGATTTCTTATGTAGGTTTGTTTACTTTTAAATATCTTAAGTATGTAGCTGTATTTCAGGTTCTTACACTATATATGTTTACATAGATTAACTTGTGATTGAAGCAGTATTTAGTCCATCAGAACAATGCATTACTTAGACCACACTCAGCCCAGGTGACACTGTATCCTCAGAGAAACTGATGAACTTACTGACAAAGGTTAGTACTGTACAATAAAGTGTGCATACACAAAATCTTGTGTAGCATATTACATGGAGAGAACTGAATAATGAGAGAGTATGTTTCCTTATGTCTCAAGAATAAGCCTTAATCCTTCTGTGAAGAACAACAACTGCTAGAAATTTTTTGCCTGTTTTTTGCTAGATATAGTCTTTTTTAGCCCAGTATCTGTAACCCTGCCCGTAGTAGTGATCATTTTAGAAAGTTAACTTAAGGGCTTTAGAACTGTCAGTCTAAATGTATGTATGCTGACAGGCTTCAGAAAGGAGGATGGTACTCAACCACGTAAGCTGCCACTTTGCAGCATACCCCACTCTCTTGGGGTGGCTCTTAAAATACGTTTTCAAATACCTCTAGTTATTCCCTAGGAAGAGCCATGCCACAGCACATGTTTATGAAGTGGTATTTACCAAGGCATAACTACTATGCAAAACATTTCTGTAGTCCTCTGTCTCAAGCCTTTTTGGGGCTAACTGTACATAAAAGTATAACTATAAAATCAATCCATGTAAACCTTCTAGATTGCCAAATACATGTAGACACTGTATAAATTATTTTTCTTACAGTTTGGAACTGTATAGCATGCTCCTGACAGATCTTATTTTTAAACAACAACGTAGAATTTCAGTTTGGGTTTACTAGTTCTCTCTCCCACACAGCAGCCATTTCCTGTACATAAAAGGTCCAACATCTCTCAGACCTTGCATCAGAAACCAAATACCTACACTGTGCCAACAGCTAAAAAGGATGAAACCTCTGTTCTTTCTGTTACCCATATGGAAATGATGAACGAGGACAGAATTAGATTAGATACAAAGAAGACATTTGTCACTGTGAGGATGGTTCAAGGCCAGGCTGGATGAGGCTTTGAGCAACCTGGTCTAGTGGAAGGTGTCCGTGCTGTGGCAGGGGGGTTGGAACTAGGTGGTCCTTAAGGTCCCTTCCAACCCAAACCATTCTATGACTTTACGACAGTAAATAGCAATGCGTCCTACATCTAAGAGCTTCAGAATGAATGTCTGACTGCAGCTAGAAATAAGCCACAGAAGAAAAAAAAAAAAAAACAAAACAAAACAAAACAAGGGATGTCAAAACCGGATGGGTAACGTAGAGCACTGTCCCTTCTCCTTGGTTTTCTTACACAGACAACAGAAAAATGCAAGACAGAACTGCACACTGATGACTCCAGCAACTTTAACCATCACCCACCAATTTTCAAAGTTTTGTGTAAGTAAAAGGAGGAAATGGACAACCAAAGGGAAGAATAAGAAATATTAAAAGGGGAAATGAGAAGATGACAGAAGACAGGGAAAAGGCAAGAAATACATTTGTGTGTCTCCTATGTATTTTCTGTAATAATGTACTGTGTCTGTTTCAACAGGTTTTACAAAGCCATCACACCCTAAGGGGAGGAAAAGAATGGAAATACTGATGCTAAAGAAGTATTGCTGAAATGTTGTTTAAACAAAAGGTAATTCATGGTTGGATTTTTTTTGTGTTTTGTGGTTTTTTTTAAATTATATACAACTGAAACAGAGAGTTACTTCCCCAAATGTCAAGCTGTGGTGTCAAACACAGCACAACATATTTTAAAACATTTTCCTGTGATGAAATACCAAGTAAAGATTTATGTCCATAGAACTGCAGGTCTGTTTAATGTTAATTTTACAGCACTTTATATGGGAGTTAAACACTACTCATTACTCATCAACCTTTTAAATATTTATTGAGAAACAGAGATTAAGCCTGGTTACCTTGCTGAATTTAAGAGCTAAGAACTTTAGCACTTGGCATGGCAATTACTTGTGTCAAATCTGAATGCAAAATATCAGTCTAGAAGATTTAAAGTAATAAAATGTAAGGACACAAAGAGCACATTAAACTTGAATCCCTGCTCTGCAAATACTGACAAATTGTACTTTACTAGGCACATAAGTACTTGTAATCCTTTGAAGTTCTTTTATCTAGCACTGACCATTCCTAGACATGCAGACAGACTTAGAGCTTGCATTGGCGGGTGTCCTTTGAAATAAGTAAAAAGTTAGACTGTGTCTGAGGACCTCCTGTGCTGCCCCTTACTATCATCTCTCCACTATGAACCATGCTGTAAGATTCATGTAGGATGGAGAACTAATACATCAACACTGATTGGAACTTATGAAAGTTGACTAACTGCATGTCCCCACCACGTACTTCTAGAGGACAAAATAACTACAATAAATAAGACACATGTACCTTCTTAATATTTCCAGGCACCAGGCAAACATTAATTACTTTATTCTCAGCATGACTAATTAGGAGAGTATCCTTTTTAAAACCAAAGGAAATGGAGGCACGGTGCAGTGATCTGTCCCACAATAAATCTTTTTCTAAGTACAGAGACAAATCTAAATGGTCTTTCTTTTCTGTCCCATGCTTTAGCCACAAGGCTGTTTTTTCCCTTCTCGTGGGCCTTGCATTAAACATCTGCAAAACAACTATCTGACAAACAAAAAAGATAACCTATTACACATACTAAACAGATACAAATATTCCTAGCATACAAATTCCCCAAGCCACATTTTGCCAAACCGCCCCCCAGCAACACAACAGGGTAAGGGAGTTGAACTAACAACTCTCTTCAACATCAACACAAATGCCTTTAGCAGGTTGGGCTGACCTCACGCCCTTCAAATTATTTTTGGACAGCTTCTCCTATAAACATCTCCCACTTTTACCAGGAAAGGAAACAGGCAACTCAGATTTCTAGTATGACCCTCTCCCAGCTAAGTATATATAAGTAAAGAAACTGAGGTGTTAAACAGTAACAGCAGCTTAAAAATACAGCTTCTCCTATGTACTGAACTGCAACAAGATCGCTGCTGTGCTTTGTAATACAAAGTAATAAAAAAAAAATTTCTCACAAGACTAGAAACTTTTTGTTTCCTCCTAGCAATGTTGAGGTTTATTTTTAATTAACTCCAGTATCATTAACAGAATATAACTTTCAGTAACAAAGAGTTACTGTTTCTCTCACAGTGACACTTTTTTTTTTCCCCACTTCCTTTCTGTTCTTTTACCCCAGTTTCTCTATACCGCCACAGGCACTAGCATTAAAATGCCCTTTTGATTAACCTGCCGTTTAAGCATCCTCTGCTCTCCTCTTATTTGCTCTCACTCGTTAAAGGAAAAAAAAAAAAAAAGGGGGGGGGGGGAGGATTTAAAACAACAACAAAAAAAGGATCCACCCCTGCATTGCATTACTTATTTAAATATTTGAGTTAGGCTGAACTTCCAGCATCAAAGGGGAGGGAAAGCATTTTCATTAGGTGTCAATTTATATCACTTCCTCAAACAAAAAAAAAAAAAAGTACTTGGTGCAAGAGCCACTTATTTTAGTTAAGAAAATAACCATGGCAGTAAGCCAACGTTCAAAGGAGCTACCAAGGCTTGGCCCCAGGGGACTGATATGAGTATTTTGTTAGCTTTTCACACCCTGCTTCACCTGCTATAGACAGACACAATCGAATCCCATTGATGCAGACAAGGTTCTACAAATCAGATATTGATCCTGACGCATTATCTTTTCATTAGCTATATTTAGGGTGAGTAGCTCTAGACTACCATAAAAATCAGAATAATTAACTTACTTTAGATAAACAGACTCATTGCGTGTCACAAAGCACTATCAGTGCCTATAATACAGGGAAAGGGATAATCTCTGTGCTCTAGAAAAATCAGAATTGGCCCTGGTCATCTACAGATAAATTAGAAAATTTGAAGTCTATTCACTCCTATAAGGGTTCAACCTAATCCTGGCCTAACTGTCATCAGCTAACCTCCTCCTTGTTCCCGTAATGCTGCACAGAGGCAGCTGAGAATAAGGT